TGTGTGTGTGTGTGTGTGTAATTCCAGTCTCAGCCACTAGAGGCTCCTGATCTGCTGCAGTTCTACAGTCCTGACAAGATGCTCAGAGAGACTCCGCTGTTGCCTGGCGACCGCATCCCTTTGCCCCGCCCACAGCCTGTGCCTAGACCCGCCCACACAACCTTTCACCTACATCATCGGCACAAACTCTGGGAGTCATGAGCTGTGTGTGTGTGAGACTCATTTTGTAAGTTTAATGTATATTAATGTATTGTTTTTTAGCTTAACGTGAATTAATATAATAGCAATAAACCTGTGATTATTTAAATATGATATTGGCAGTGAGTGACACACTCTTGCTGGAAGAAATCTCCTGCACAGCAGCTTAACGTTCTCATTACTCATTAAAACAATCAATCCACAAATTAATTAGCTTGAGTCAACAAGAGCACAGACATCATGAGCTGATTTCCTCACAATCCCAGGAGAAACTCTTTTATAATTCACGCCAGAATGACAAGAAAATAAATTACATTTTGTATGAAGACATTTAGGCTCATTATCATTTTTTTGCATTGTGACTATTTTCATAATTAAGCTCATTAACCCCCCAAAATTCATGCTACATATACTGTCTATTTGTATCTTTTTGGTAACACTCCCATGTGCTAAAGCAGCAGTACATTTGTCACAGTATTTATTCTTTGTTATTAATGTTAGTCCGTGTTTGATTTTACATCTGCTCATTTTAATGTGTTCGTAAATGTTGAAATTAACATTCACGTGATTTAAAAGTGTTTTTTGCTGTTAGTTCATGCACAGTTAGCACATGAGTTAACTCGTCCTAACAAGTGAAACCTTACTGTGAGCTATTTTTTATTTTCTACACTGCAAAAAAAATAATTTTTGTCTTGTTTTCTAGTATAAATATCTCAAACAAAATCTTGAATTAAGATGCATTTCCTTGACAAGTAAAATGACTTAAGCAAAATTTGGATATTTCTCAGAAAACAAGACAAAATATCTTAAAACAAGTAAAAAAATCTGCCAATGGTGTAAGAGAAATCTTAATTCAAAGGCTAAACAAGATGAAAAAAATTCTGAATTCTGAGATTACCTTTTTTGTTCTGTTGTGGAAACAAAAACAAAAAAACAGAATTGTGAGATAAAAACTTGTAATTACGGGAACAAAACTTTGTATCTTGCAATAATGAATAGTGACGTCGACTCGCAATTGCGAGAAATAAGTTCTACGTTTACAGTACATCTCACTATTTTGACTTATACCATAATTCGGACTTTAAGAACTGTGAGTTTATATCTTGCAAGTCAGAAGATAAAGACAGAATTGCAAGATACTCTCACAGTTTATATCTCGCAATTCTGACTTATTTTTTGTTTAATGGAAAAGGTAATTTTAACTCTTTTGCAATTGTGTGTCTCACAGTTCCAAATGCTCTTCTCAGAAATGCAAGTTTATGTGCAAGAGCTCTGAATCTATATCTTGCAACTCTGACTTTTTTTCTCAAAGTTCTGAGTTTATTTATCATTTATGTAATTTGTTTCCAACATGGAATGAAACATTTAAAGAAGTAATTGCAACTTTATTTCACATTTCTTACTTTTTCTAGAAATTAAGAATTTGTTTGTATCTCATAATTCTGAGTTCACATCTCGTAAATCTGACTTTGTTTCCAGCACAGAATGAAAAAAAAAGCTAATTGCGAATTTTTCTCACAATGCGTACTTTATTCTTGCGAAGTTTATAACTCGAGATATCATTTTGATATAAGAAAGTCTGAATTGTGCGATAAGAAGTTGCAATGACCTTTTTTTATTTTTTTTAATCTGTATCTACTTGGAAAGTGTCTTACGAGTGCTTACACTAGTGTGCACTACGATCTGATTTGTCATGAGTGCTGATGATCTTCTCTCTCGTACTGTGTGTTAAAAATGACTAGCCAAGCAGTCGACCATGGACCTACGGTGCGTCCCAAATCGCTTACTTATGCACTATTCTGACGTTTTGTAGTACAAATAGTGCGAGCAGTGCATTCACACTGGAAATTCCAAAAAGAAAAAGTGCACTTTAAATACCCGGATGATGCACTTAAAGAGATAGTTCACCCCAAAATGAAAATTATGTTATTAATTACTCGCCCTCATGTCGTTCCAAACCCGTAAGACCTCTGTTCAACTTCGGACACAAATTAAGATATTTTAGATTCTCTGACCCTGCATAGACCGCAAGGATACTAACCAAGCAGCAACCTCCCACTCTCTCGTGAAGCCAACACGGAAGTGACTTAAACTGTAATTCATCAACTGGCCGCTAGAGGCTGGCTGCAAAAGTGAGTCAATCCCATAGACTCCCCATGTTAAAATGCCCAACTTTACAGCAGAAAAAAACGTTTACAGCCTGGTACAAAAAATGATTTTGGTCTATATAGCTAATTTTGCCCTTCATGACAACTGTGAGGGGGGTGAATTTTTTTATAACACGTCACGGACACTACGTCCATGTTTTTATACAGTCTATGATACTAACACGATCAAGGCTCAGAAACGTAGCATCGTTAAAATAATCCATGTGACATCAGAGGTTCAACCATGATGATTTATAAAGCTAGGAGAATACTCTGTTCACGCAGAAAACAAAAATAACGACTTTATTCAACAATTCGTCTCCTCCGCGTCACTCTATAGCGCCATTTTGTTGTTTCACATACGTAAACAATGTTCCGATCAAAAATAATTTTTTTTTACAATTTTCTATTTATTTCATAATATAAGAAACAATTTAAAAATATATATCTTTCACTTTTTGAAGTCTGTAGTAAAAACAAAAGGCATTTGAAAACAAAACTCGACTTTTTTAAAGAAACTGTATGAAACCATAAAACAGCCTGAACAAATATCTGCAAAACATCAGAATGAGTTTGCTACATTTTTAGAAAAAAAAACTTTATGATTTATAATTTATTTATTATTAAGTTTAGAACTGTTCAAATGTGTTCTAAGAAGCCTTCTGTGGAATCAAATGTTGTTTTATTCAAATGTCACAATTTTTTTTATTTATTAATTTTTTTTCTATATATATAGTTTATTTGCAAAAACAGATACTTCGTTTTTAAAATGTTTAAAAAATCATGTTTTTTATGTTATGTTTTTATTGTGTTAGTTGTATTTTTTTGTTATTTTTAAACCCAATCAAATTGTTAAAAATGGAGTCATCTGTTTTTTTGTAAATGGACTCTTCATATGTTCAGTGTATAGACTGCTCAATCATATTTAAAAGCCTTATTTAGTTATTTAATATTCTGCTTTTTATTTCGGAAGCATGTCTATAATCTGTCAGAATCACGCATCTGTCTGAATGTCAGAGCAAAGCGTAAACAGAAAAACACACACAAATGAAACTTGCATTTGAAGAATTTTAATGAAACGGCCTGAACAAATATCTGCAATGCATGAATTTATACAGTAGAAATCAATTCAAACATGTCCATAAATCTATATTCATAAATAAAGTCACGTCAGCGGTACTAAAGGCCTGTGAGTGGAAATATGAACTAAAACAAACAGAAACTCATGCAAACGATAAACACCAGCGAGCAAAAACATGCCGAAGAACCTCAGGTGTAACTATAAGCGTGCATATCGGCAAGAGAATAAAGGCATTCTTAAATATATTTTCACCAGCTCTTTATATTGTACAGTATTTACAGACTAATGCATAAAGGTCTGAATGGAGACAGGAGCGCTGCAGTTCATTCAGTTACAAACACATCAAGGCACATTCATAAATATCCATAAAACAGACTCATGTTTAATGATGCCTAGTGACGCATTTCACACGCGGCTCTGAGATCAGCGGATTATTGAAGATTACTTACACCACAGAATAATTGCTATTTATTATACAAATGAAAAATTCAAGGTGAAAAGGTGGATCCTTTCTGAGCCAAAGCCTAAAATGTTTTTCTCTTTAACTCTTTCCCCGCCAAACATGGAATTTCCCGTGTTTTCACGCTAGGGGGCGCTATCACGCAGCTCCTGAATGAGTCTAGAAACTCGATCAAAAACACAGGTGGTGAAGACGCAGAAACCAGCGATCTCATATGTAAGCATATGCATATGAAAAATAATGCGATCATCAACAATAACCGCATATATATATGAAAACTGACTAATGTTCCCGAGTGAAATGTGGATCCAGAAAGGACTGTGAAGCTTTGGGAGTGCTGATGGAAGCCATCTACTGCAGCTTTGCTTTGATAATATTACTGAATATGATCCAGATGTAGTGTTTGATAGAAAATATGATTTTTTCCCCCAGCTTTTTGCTCAAAATGTTGCTTTTTTTATGAAACCTACCTACATTCAAGTGTTGATAAAAAAACCATGCTTGAAGCTAGAATAAAACTGATTGTTTTGTTTGAAAGTAGAGGGTCTGATCTTTATTTGATGTATTGCATACAGCAATTCATATTCTGGCGGCCATGAAATTTTAGTGAAAATCAGCAAAAACACTGGCGGTGAAAGAGTTAAATGCTTTTTTTATCTTCAAATTTCTTTGCTCTCATCAATTTTTTGAAAAAGGCTTTTTTTTTCGAAGAGAAGAGAGATGAGAGAAAGAAACATGTTTTTTGAAGAGAGGCCTAAAAAAGAAAAAAAAAAGGCATATCTGAAGAGAAAGAAAAGTTTGTTCATGAGAATAAAAATGTAAGAAAATTCTTGAAGAAAGTTTTTTTTTGCGGGAGATAAAAACGGGGGGGAAATCTGGGGGGTGTTGGATAAAGTTTTTTTTGGAAAGAGAAAATAAATTGGAGAGGAAAATTTTGGGGAAAGAGAAATGTTTTTTTGGGGGGAGACCAAAAAAATGTAATAGAAAAAATTAGAAAAACATTTTTGAGAGAGAGAGAGAAAAAATCCTAGGTCCTTAATCTCAGGAAGGATTTCAGGGCTTCTGCAGTTTCAGAAATGAAAAACATGTTTGTTTCATTAAACCATCAAACTGAACGTCTTACGAGAGTCAAGAAAGCGAGCTCGATCAGCAGACTCCGCTGCCGTTACACAGATAAACTGCATGTACACTAATGTGAGTGAGCAGATTTACACAAACACACATGAGTTCACGATTACTATCACACTAGTTTCATGCCAACTCTACAATTCAAAAGATTACAAACTGACGAATCCAAATGATTTTCTGTGACAGATGCTGCTGAAAGAGCTCAACTCTTCATTTATTCACTGGACTGATATTATATTCATTATACCTCATGAACATAAGCAGTGATGATATTTAACAAACCGTTGGACTAGAATTGCCATCGCGTGTTCGTCACTAGGCAACGTTACATTTCCGCCGTGTGTTACCATGGCAACTACGATTTAAGATTTCGGATACAGCGTTCATTCTGTCGTTTATAATATATATCTCCAAGAGATCAATAAATAACTTCATGTCAACACAATCAGCTTGATTTCTGATCATACAGTATATATGAGAGTAGATGCTGTTTACATTTATATAGAGATCCATTAATACAGAAAAACATTCAGGAGAGCTGAACGTCAATTATAGTCAGTCATTTGCGCTCCAGCTCTTTACTCTGTTTCAGCTCCTTAATCCTGCAAACACAGACAATTATAATATATACAGTATCTCACAAAACTGAGTACACCCCTCACTTTTCAGCAACCATTTTATTATATGTTGTCAAGGGACAATACTATAGAAATGAAACTTGGATATATTTTAGAGTAGTCAATGTGCTGCTTGTATAGCAGTACAGATTTACTGTCCTCTGAAAATAACTCAACATACAGCCATTATTGTCAAAATAGCTGGCAACAAAAGTGAGTACACCCTAAGTGATAACAGCTGTATGTCGTTTAACCATGCAAAGCCACATGTCCTATTCATCATGTTCATGTTTTTGTCTGCTTGACTGGACCATACAAATTTGTGTATCTTGTATTAGAGCAGTTTTAAATTTGGTGCTTTGAGTACAATTCTCTCATACTGACCACTGGATGTTCAACATGGCACCTCGTGGCAAAGAACTCTCTGAGGATTTGAGAATTAGAATTGTTGCTCTCCACAAAGATGGCCTAGGCTATAAGAAGATCTGTAACACCCTTAAACTGAGTTGCAGTACAGTGGCCAGGGTCATACAGAGGTTTTCTAAGACAAGTTCCACTCAGAACAGGTCTCGCAAGGGTCGATCAAAGAAGTTGAGTCCTCGTGCTGTGCGTCAGGTACAGAAGCTGGCTTCAAAAAAACAGACGCATGAGTGCTGCCAGCATTGCTTTAGAGGTTGCAGAAGCGAGAGGTCAGCTTGTCAGTGCTCAAACCATACGCCGCACACTGCAACAAGTCGGTTTGCATGGCCGTCGTCCCAGAAGGAAGCCTCTCTCCTGGTACTGGGGAGTAGGCTTGCCGCGATAGACGGTGCTGACGGTGATACCGGTATACCGGTTATGTCACTTGCCCACCGCGGCACCGACCCCACCGTCGTTTTGATTTTTTGTAGTAGCCTAATAAAAATAATTCAGTTCAGTAAAAGAACAGACACTACAATTAAAAACTGAACGCGGCTGCC